CTGCTTGTTGTAAATAATATGGCCTTGGAAATCTTACAGGAATGTTCTCTAGAATCAGGTCAGTGGCAGTGGGCTTAGTCTGGGGATTTAGTTTACGTTAGAATTTTATTGATGAACACTGTCATATAGAGATCTAAAGTCATTTTCACCCTTATACAGGCACATACAAAAGCACTAATGCCATTAGAGTCAAAGAGAATTCTAGGTATGCAGAAGAGCTTGTACTCTTAAAGGAATAAGAATAGTTATTTGGCTGGATTAAGAAAACTAAGTAAAATGGAATATAACAAAAGACATCAGACTGAAAAGAAAAATGGCTGAACTAACGCTAAGGGTTCCAAACAGCCTTTCACAGAGATTTAAACTGTGTTGAATAGGAATTAAATTATTAAAGTTTTGTGGTTAGACAAAAACTGTGACTATTAATCAAATATTATAAAAATGCTGTCAGATTTCCAGAAAGTTTATGCTCTGGGCAAGTAAATATGTTCCCTACAATATCCTCATGCCATCGTTATGCTGCTATTTGTGACTGGTCATAAGACCCCTTCACATACCAGGCATTTGTTGATCAATTCAGGTCAGTTGTAAGGAGCCCTGGTGTGCAGTTGTTAACGTCATTGGCTGCTAAGCAAAAAGTCAGGGGTTCAAATTTACCATCTGCTTTTTGTAGAAAAAAAAGATGTGGTACTCTACTTTCCTGAAGATTCACAGTCTTGGAAATCCTATGGGTAGTTCTACTCTGTCCTAATAGGGTCACTGTGAGTCAGAATCTCACTTGACGACAATAAGATTCCTTGTTTGTGATATTAATATAACTAATATTAAAATCATGCATTGCTTTGTGTGCCTTTAACTGTCTTCCTTACTGTACAGAATAAATTACTGTTTTAAAAATTTAAATGGTATCTATATGCCAGTAACCCCTAGGAGCACTTTACAATTTTGTAGCATGTTTCCTCAGCTACACTTTTTGCTATTTCCTCAATCAAACTCTTTATGTACTTTCATCTTTAACCAGGTTTGTCCTACCTCACAGGGAAATGGAAGATGAGAAGTAAACAGTAATTGAGTAGTAAATGGAAGAGAGAATCAGAGGTTATACCAAGAGCATCAGAAAGTCAGCATTTCCTTGTTTCTGCAGTATTGTGGGGGCATCCCTGGGTGGTGAAAACAGTTAATACACTTGGCTACTAACCAAAGGTTGAAGGTTCAAATCTACTCATAGGTTTCTGGGAAGTAAAACATGGTAATCTACTTCCAAAACATCAACCACTGAAAACTCTATGGAGTATGGTTGTACTCTGACATTTATCAGATAACCATGAAGCAAAATTAGTTAGGCAATGAGTAGTATTTTTGAGCTTCCAAAATATTTTGCCATTTGATTGTAATTCATTAGCTATTGGTTATGGTTGTAAGGAGTTGCATTTCCAATCCGAAGACAAATGGCTATAACCCACGAGCTGCTCCATAGAAGAAAGATGGGCAATTTTCTCCTTTGCAATTGATTGCCTCTGAAAACCCAGTGGAGGGTCAGCTCTGTGTCTGCTCCAGTCTGATGTCACATAACAACATAATAAAGGCATATGTTACAGACAGGAACCTCTAGTGCTCTTGGTGCTTAAAGTATCAGGTTGCAAATCAAAAGCTCTGCACTCTGAATCCACCAGCAAATTTGTGATTTGTTTACTTTTATGTTTGCATTTTTATATATTACAGAGAATGACACTAACTTTCAAAGCAGTTACTTAATTTTCCACGGATTTTTTGAAAGCTAGAACTGGGATTCCTGACTCCAGGTCTAGTATGTTTTGTACTCCAGAGCCAAGTTTGTTGTTGTAAACGATGAGCTTGAAGAAAAGCCACGTGGATTTTATGAAGCAAAGATTTAAAGAAAATGTAAACACATCCCACCAAAAAAAATTATCCTAGGACAATTGAGCTAATTTTTACTCATGGATGGTGACTTATATATTACAGAGCAAAACTGTTGCATAATGCTTTCTTGGCTTTAAAATTTATAGAAGTAGTCACCACTGGATGGGTTCGCACTATCAAACTTTTTTTCAGGACATTGACATTTTATTGGAAATTTTAGAGAGAGGCCAAACCTCAGGGCATCTGGAGCTGATATACTCAGATCTTGTCAATAATTTGACTTTTTTTAAGCTACAAAGTATTTTTAGAAAACTAAAAACTAATTTTTTTTTTTCAGTTTCCAGTTCTTCATTACGTTTATCTAGCCTCCTTTAACTGGGCTTTCTTGTTGTTGTTGTTGTTGTGTGTTTTGGAGTCTGAACTGACTTACAGCTGACCCTCCAGCAGGTTTTTAGAGGCTATAAATTACATGGAAGGAAACTGCCTATATCTCTCTTGCAGAGTAGTTGGTGGATTTGAACCAACCACCTTTGGATTGATTAGCAGCACAAGCTCCCTGTCCACTAGACCACCAGAGTTCCCTACATAGTCTTTTCGGGTTTTTTTTTAACATAACATTTATTTTATTTAATACTGGTTTACTTACAAAGTTTGTATACATTGTTTTTCACACTGGATCTTTTAATTATAGTTAGGTGCCACGGAGCAAACTCCAAGTCACAGTGGTCCACAGAAGGAAATTCTGATACTGCACCACCCTCACAATTGCTGTTGTGCTTGAGGCCATTGTGTCAGATCCTGTGTCAACTGATCTTATTGAAATTATCTCTCCTTTTTGGTTGAACTTTTAATTTTCCAAGGATAAGGTCTTTCTTCAGGGACAGTCCCTCTTGATAACATTCTCAAATATCACCAAAATAAGAGCAAATGTTTAAGATCATCTAAAATACTAAGCCTTCATATCAAAGAGCATAATATATTCCTCCATTTCTCCAGGTCTCTCTTTATTTCTTGTAATAATGTTTTGTAATTTTCTTTGAATAGGTATTTCGTGGTTTTAGTTAGATTTACTCCCAAGTATTTAATCTTGTGATGAGCTATTGATATAGGTATCACCTTTCATAGCTCCCGTTCTGTAGATTCAATACTGTGAAAATGACAATTCTACCAAAGGCAATCTACAAGGTCAATGCAATCCCAATACAAACACCAATTCTGTTTTCAGTGAGATGGAACAGGCAATTTCCAATTTCATCTGGAATGGAAAGAGGGCCTGAATAAGCAAAACACTCCAGAAAAGGGGAAACAAGAGGCATTTCACTTCCTTATCTCAAATCCTACTATGTTGCCATGGTGGTCAAGACGCAATGGTACAGGTACAGGGATAGACTAATAGATCAATGAAATAGAATTGAGAACCCAGAAGAAATCAGCATATCTAACTATGGTCAACTGGTTTTAGACCAGAAGATTAAATCTATTAAGTGAGGAAACTAAGCCTCATCTTTAACAAACAGTGTTGGCAAAATTGGAAAATTATCAGTAGAAAACTCAAGAAAGACTCACACCTTACACCATATACAAAAACCAACTCAAAGTGGATCAAGGACGTAGGACTAAAACCCAAACTAAAGACTCATTGGAGAAAGGCTTGTAAATACTCTAGAAGTCCTAATCCACAACATAAACAGTTTTCCAAGCATCCTGAAAAACCTGCAACCATGAGAGGATAAAATAGATGAATGGGACCTTCTAAGAATCAAATCCCTGTGCACATCCAAAAACTTCTTCAGTAGGCGAAAAGGAAAGCCACAGACTGGAAAAGAATATTTGGTAATGACATGTCAGATAAGGGATTTATATCTGGAATTTATAGAATACTTGAGCACCACAACAAGATAAACAACCCAATTGAAAAATGGGCACAGGATAAGAACAGCCATTTCACCAAAGAAGACATTCAGATGGCCCAAAAACACATGAAGAAATGTTAAAAATCCCTAGTTCTAAGAGAGATGCAAATCAAAACAACTATGAGATATTATCTCATCTCAGTAATAATAGCAAAATTCAACACAGTAGCAAACAACAAATGCTGTGGAGGTTGCAGAGAAACTGGAACCCTGATGCCTTGTTGGTGGGAGTGTAAAATGGTGCAACTACTCGGGAAGGCAGCATAGCACTTTTTCAAAAAGTTTGAAATAGAAATATCATTTGACCCAGGAATTCTACTACGGGGAATATACCCCAAAGAAACCAGAACTGTCACACAAATAGATACATGTACACCCATATTTACTGCTGTGTTGTTCACAAGAGCGAAGAATTGAAAACAATCTAAGTGTCCATCAACAAACAAATGGATAGAGAAGCTGTGGTACAGTCACACAATGGAATATTATGCAGCACTGAAAAACAACTCATGAAATATAAAAAATGGGTGACCCTGGATGACATTTTGCTGAGTGAATTATCTATCATAAAAGGACAAACACTGCATAGTGCCACTGTTACAAAACAGGATTGATATGGGGGTTGGGGGACAACTAAGAAAAAAGGGGATAAAGAATGACCACTGCATTGAAATAGATCAGGGAAAGAACTGTTTAAAAGGAATTTATGATAAGGCATTATTTTCATGACAATAGTCCAGAATAAGAGGTGCATAGCAAAGTGCTCTGGGGAGGGGAAGCAAGAAATTTGTTCAACAATGAAATAATTTTTTTACAAAGATAAGTGAATAGGGAGTTATAGAAGAAAATGTGCAAAAATGAGTGAATGGAAATCCAAGTTTTCTGTAAACTTTCATTAAAATATCAATTTTAAAAACAAAATCCACAGCTAAAAAAATCATTTATATAGCCTTTGAAAGAGCTCTGGTAGCCTAGCAGGTTAATAATTGCACTGCCAACGAAAAGTCAGGCGGTTCAGATCTGTTAACTGCTCCAAGGGAAAAAGATGGACAATCTCCTCTGGTGCCTTTTACAGACTCTGAAAACTCACTGGAGGGTCAGCTAGGTGTTGGTGTGTATGGACAGTACATAACAACAACACAGACCTTTAATAAAATATTCTAGATGTTTGGGGGAATAGCTAAATCACTAGAAATGGCTGCATACCTTACTATTGATAGTCCAGCTCCAATGTAATTTAACAGTGGTTTTGAAACTTCTTGTGCATCCATTCCAAACCAGCCAAACCTAGAAATTCAGAGGGGCATTCAGTTAGATATTCCTTAGAAATGGGCTAATTCTAAATGTTTAAGGGTGTAGACTCAGGTCTATATTTCTGGGTTCAAATTCTAGGTCACTCATTTTTTGTGACTTTGAATTTAGCTTGCATTGCTGTGACTCAAATTTCCTTATTTAAGATGAGGATAACAATTGAACTTAAAATGAACTTGTTACAAAGATTAGTTTATACACACACATATAAAAATACTTGCTAGTATCTCTTTTTAATTAAAACTAAAGAAAGAGGAAAAAATACATCCATTAGTTAATCTGAATGATAATTAATTTGGTGCAGTTCTGTATAGCATTTGAAACAGATTTTAAAATAACTGTTTAGTTAAGGATCCCTATGCTTTGACATCACCCTAAATTGCTTGTTATTTCCTTGCTCTTGCCTTGTAATGATTATTACTAACAATCACTGAGACTCATGTAATTGTTATGTGCTGTCAAGTCACTGGCGACTCATAGCGACTCTATGTTCAGCAGCCCTAAACTCTGCTCAGTCCTCTGCCAATCGCACTGTCTCTGTCTGACATTCTCATCCTGATTATCCCAGTCACTGAATCAATCCACCTCATAGAGGGCCTTCCCCTCCTGTGCTGTCCCTCCACCCTATCAAGCATGATGTCCCTGTCCAAGGACTGGTTCCTCCTTACAACATGTCCAAAGTAAGTTAGATGGATTCTCAGAATCCTTGCCTCCAAGGAGCCACCTGCCTGTTTTGACCCTTTCCAGTATGAATCTGTTTGTTTCCCTAGCAGTCCATGGTATCCTCAATACTCTTCTCCAGCACCACAGCTCAAAGGCATCAATTCTCCTTCTATCCTCCTTAGTCATTGTCCAACTCTC